GGACGGGGCAGCATCACGGTGAGTTCCAGATGAGCTCTGCAGAAACAGGCTCAGCGGGATGTCAGGTCCCTCTGTGCTCAGCGCTGCACCTGCCGAGAAGGGGCGATGCCCGCAGGTGTAGGCCATGCTTCTGCTGAACAGGCTTTGTAGGGCTAGACCCTGGAAGGTGTTTGCTGCTTCTCATTGCTTCAGTGATACCGTTTCTGATGGAAGTTTGTACTGTAGCAATGTCCACAAACGGCCGTAAACAAATCCTGGACGGCAGTGTCAGACCTGCCGGGGCTTTCAGCACCTATGTTTCATTGTTACCTCCTGACTCCCCCGGGACAGGAGACATTGCAGTGAGTATAAAACTTCCCGAGCCTCCCTCCAAATCTTCCTTTTTTCCCAAAGCTGACAGCTTGCTAGCTCATTCCTAATGAGTATCTGTAGCTTCTCCGAAAACTCACGAGATATTCTGAGACTCCCAGGGGAAGTTTAAAGTGAGGGAAAGGTTAGGAAGGAATTCGATGTGCTGATGGGCACAAAGCTAGCACACAGCAAATCCATGCCCATCCCCTAAGCTGGGCGGGCTCTCTTCAGAGCACATCCGCCGCCTGCGGCTCACGCACGGGCAGAGGGTTTCCATTGCTCTTGTTTCTGTTCTCCTGTCCAGAACTGATCTCCAGATGATGTGCTTTTAATGACTTCAGACGTGGTCCATTCTGGCCCTCCTCCCAGTTTCCACTGGCATTGCTGGGACTGCCTGTCATAGTCAAGCTTTGTTGGTTGCTGAAGACTGGGCAGCCCCAAACCAGCTCTAGGGAGCCGATAGAGACCCATGGGACTGGGGCCTGTCTGGAGATCGGCTCCCGTGTGCTCAAGCCTGAGCCCCTAGCCTATCCCTGACTCCAAACCAGCTGTATCCTGTGAGACACAAGCGACTCCCAGACAAAGGCTGTAAACATGAAATGGATGAAATTTCAAATTTAAAAAAAAACAAAAAACTTTAAAGAAATAATGTATACCACCTGTAAGTGATTAAGAAATTAAGAAGCAGACCTAGTATTTAAATCGGTCTTGGAAGTTGCCCTGGACTGTTACTGGCTGGACATGGTGGGCCAGTAAAGAGAAACTTGTAGTGTGTGGGAAACCTGAGGAGGACCCAGTTAGCTGATACGGAATGTTCCCAGTAGCACTGGAGCTGGGTTTGTGTGACTCTAGAACAAAAATGAAAATATGGCAAAGGAGTCCCAAACCATCCAAGAATTCACCATCTCCAAGAGCTATCTGTGGACGTAAAGACACAATGGACATATTTTTGGCAGTTACCAAAACCCTGTGGGAATCACGTACAGAGAATTTAGAAGCCCCACAATGAAATGAATGACTTAATTCATGAAAAAGATGAAGTAGAAGAACTGGATAGAATGGGTGCAATGAAAAAATAAATCGTCTGGGTACAGTGGCTTATGCCTATAATGCCCTCACTTTGGGAGACCGAGGCAGGCAGACCACGTGAGCCCAAGAGTTTGAGACCAGCCTGGGCAACGTGGCGAGACCCCCATCTCTACAAAAAGTACAAAATATTAGCCAGGCGTAGAGGCACATGCTTGTAGCCCCAGCTTCTTAGGAGACTGAGCTGGGAGGGTCACCTGAGCCCGGGAAATTGAGGCCACAGTGGGTCCTTATCATCCTGCTGTATGCACATCAGCCTGTGTGACAGAATGAGTCCCCCCAAAATAAAATAAAAAAAATGCATCCTCTCACAGGCACTGCACTGGACTTTCAAAGTACTCGTTGACGTGAGTTCCAGCTGGTTGCAAAATTACACCCTTAGCCAGAGCACAGCAGGTGGAGACATAAGCCCAGAAAAACACATCTGGTGATGCCTCAGTCTGGAGACAGACCGCAAACCATTAGACCAAACTGGATCAGGTGTTGTGACTACGGAGAAGAAGTGATTCTTGACTCGTCTGTTCCCCTGAACCTTGAACTCCTACCGACCCTGCATTAAGGAACTTAGTGACAAATGGCCACGCCTCACAGGAGGTATTGCAGGCTTCTGTGCTCACAGCTTCTGTCCCTGTTCTCGTCAGGGCTTCGTGATCTCGATGAGTGGCAGCAGTCCTCTAGAACCGAGAACGCCTTCAGTACGCGGCATCCACATCCCACAGCGGGTCAGCCGTGATTCCAGCATCAGCCTGATGCTTTCCGGTTCTCCGCGCCTGGGACTCCGCTCGCCGTCATTCGTCCATTGTGTTCAGTGTAGATCAAAAGGGGGAGCAGAGCGCAAAGTCACCTGTTTCAACAAGACTAATAACCTGACTGCCCTGGGAGGGCTGACGCAAGTTTCAAGACACAGTGCACATGTCCTCTCTCTCTTTCATGTTTCCCCCTATAATTGGAACACCTATAATTTTTTAGTAATAACCAAGGCATTATTTCCCGCTGACTCTTTTTGCTGAGGCCTCAACATACTAATATGGTGCCAGATCTTACCACCTTGGCAGAAAGGAGGTAAAGCTAGGAATGTGTTGATTTCAGTGATCCGGGTAAGCCCAGCACAGGCTAGTTACTCAGTAGTTGCACCAATACCTGCATTTCCTCCACATCCCACTTTCTAAAATTCCTGCAGACTGTATTTGCAAGGGATGAATAAGATGGAAATCCAGCGGGTACAAAATGTGAAATAGACCCTCCAAAGAAACACAGCCCACAAGCCGCCACACCGGTGGGAGTACCGGGGCCTCTGGCTGTTTGTTCCCGTCACCAGCCATTTGAGAGTGCTTCTGGCCGTGCGTCCAGCAGTCACCCAACCAAAGAGTTGGGGAGAGGCACACTTCAGAGGACGGTGAGCAGAAGGACTCTGCAACCTGGAGTTCTGGGCATCATCGAAGGAGGCCTGCACACAGGATGGGCGCTTGGGGAGGGCTGTTTGGGGGTCACACTGTTGCTCTGGAAGTTTCGTTACAGCAGCCACTGGAGCGCCTGCAAAGGCTCGTGCAGCTGCTGTGATTGCAAAGGCCTCAGATCAGATCCCTGGGCTCAGGGTTTAGAGGAGAACGAAAGAGATGGACTGGGAAACCCGGAGGGGCCTCAGCAGGGAGTTCTCGGGAAAGACGTGTAAGAACGTGGGGCGCCTCGGCCACCTTTCAGAGATGTGCCCCCAAAGCCCATACCTGTACATCACAACCTCTGGTCTGATCTTGAACAAGTTACCCCACCTGCATCAGCCTCAGTTTCTTCATCTGTAAAATGGGAACAGCCATTCTGCATCGGATGACTGAGTGGTTCACGTGCTGTCTGTCCCATGAGCCCACGTCCTCATGGAAGGAGAAACTCTGAATGTGAGCCCTCCCTCTAATTCCCTGCTAGATGGGCTTTCACTCCAAGTGGGATATTTTCCCAAATCACATGAAGCTGAGAGTGCCCTTTAGGACACGGACCATTTAGGATGAGGGTTCTTTCCCAGCACTGTGGCCCTGGCCAAGCATCCAAGGTAAAGGGACTGTGGCTCTGGGCCGTGACCACCTAAGGGCACTTTGAGGCCACCGCAGCTCCTGAGCCTCCTCCACATCACTGCCCAGAGTGTCAAACAGAGGGGCAGGAAGGGCCAGGACACAGGCCAGTCCTACCCACGATGGCACCATCTCCTGTGACTCCCAGTGACCTGTGCCACCCAGCTCAACATCACAGCCAGAGAGGCTAGGCTGCGCCTGTGCTGACCACGGCATCCCCAGCAGCCCCACTCTGCCCTTCACTCTAGGAGTGTGAGCTGGGCTCCACAAAGGGGCAGGCGTGGCACAGGGAGGCTTTGATTCGGAGCAGAGCCATTAGGAGTTGGCAGCAGAGAGGAACGCAGCTTGTAGGACAGGGGAGCCGGGCCCCAGGGATCAGACCCTCCCCAGACCGAGGCCTGGAGCTGGCAGGAATGCCCAGGAATTCCCCAGCCACTGCAGCTGCTGCCCCTTCCAGCCAAGCCCACCTATTCTCGGACTCGTGACCTGGGAGAATGGGCTCCTCTGCAGCTGTCACATCCTGGAGAAAACAGAGTCCTAGAGCTTTAGGGCCTTTTGTTTGTAATTAATAGACTTTATATTCAGAACAGTTTCAGGTTTACAGAAAAACTGAATAGAAACTGTAGCATGTGTCCCCGGACCCCTCACTCCCGGTCCCACAGTCTTCCGGAGCAGCAGTGTCTGTACCAGTGGGCACATTTGCTGCCATCAGTGAGCGAAGGTCCTAAGGCCTTGTCCACACTGAGCTCATTCTGGTGACAGTCGTGTTTTCAGGCAGATGAATAGGCAGCATCCACCATTAGAGAGTCATGAAGAATCATTTCACTGTCCGAATGGCCCGTGCTCTGCCTTCTCATCCCTCCCTCCTTTCTGCCCCAGGGCCTCAGGATTGTAATGTAAGCAACAAAGTAAGGCAGGAGGTTAGGTAGAAATAACGAACAAAGCAGAGATCTCCACGTAAAAACAGTCACCTGTCGGAGCAGGCTCGGGGCGGCCAGGTGTGGGCAAGAGGCTGCATCCGATCCTCCGGGACTCAGTCCTGTCTTCATTTCCTGGAATTCTGCCCTCCCCGGTTAATCCCTGTGGCATCTTTGCCAGGATCTCTGCTCTGCGCCTTCCCCTCCAGCCTCCTGGGAGGACCACATGGTGCTCCCACTCACAGGCACCTCAAGCTCCTGGGTGTGACAGTGGGGTGCCAGGCGGCCCACATATGCAGCAGGCAGCACCTGGCTGGCCTGTTCTGTGCCTCTCTCTACCACCTCTTTTGCCCACCCCAACCCCAGGCCGCCTCTGCCTCACAAGCCCTCGGGGCTGAGTGGTGGCTTTCTGTGCTGGGGCCATCAGCAGGTGTGCAGGTGCCCGGGGTGGAGCGAGCAGCCTCTGGGCCACTTCCCACACCTGCCTCTGCACACCCCCACCCCCTGCACTGCTGTATTGGAAACTGTCAGAGAGCCCCGGCTTGGATTTGCTCTGACGATCTTCTCTGTGTTGTTGTGACAGGTGCTGGCATTGACGGAGTGGAGGAAATTAAGCGCCATCCCTTCTTTGTGACCATAGACTGGAATGTAAGTTGCATGCCTCAGTCCCCGCCTGCACACGTGTGATGGGGAGGGTTGCATGCTGTAGTCCCCGCCTGCACACACGTGATGGGGAGGGTTGCATGCTGTAGTCCCCGCCTGCACACGTGTGACGGGGAGGGAGTGGAGGGAACACAGTGGCTCGGTGCAAAAGGTCCTCAGTGTCTGGGTCACAAGTAGGTCGGAGGTGAATGCAGAGAAGCTACCTGCCCGCAGGAAGCTCCCAGGACCCCGCTGAGGGGGTTGGCAACTTGGGAGGCACAGACGGCTGAGTGCCCCTCCCTCCAGCTGGAGGCCTGGCATCCCCTCAGCTTTCCTCCTCCTCCTCTCCTCTGTGGCATCACGTCTGTCCTGCCTGCACCCACTCCCGGGCCTCCCTGACAATCATTCCTGATTGCTCCGGGAGTGATTGTCTTCTGACCCCGAGGGCTGAGCAGACAAAAGTTCAACACTGCTCAGCCAGGACCCTTACTGCTAGGGCTGTGGGCAAGCCCAGATTTGGTGCTGCATTTCCCATTGTTACTCAGACTGATGCCACATGTAAGTCACATAAAAAAAAAAAATGACAGCAACAGAACAGTGCCCAGTTGTTAGAATAAACTGGAGCTCTGTCAGTGCAGGTACTAGGAAAGCCATTTCCAGTTCTCTGTGCCAGGCTGGACATTGTCCAAAACGTTCTTGTATCTCACTTTTCACCAAGCTGCAGGTGTCAGTGGCCTATTTCTGCCAAGGTGGCAACTCCAAATGGTCAAGCAGCCAGCGTCTGACGCATCCTCCGCGCAGGGAGTTTTTCTGCTAAAACGTGGAGGCTGTTCTTCCCCTCTGAGGAAGGCGATAAATTCAGATCAGTTGCTTTTAGTCCTTTCCTTTGGGTTAACACAAATACAATTACGTTGGGATTTTCTTTCTCTGACATAACACATTAACCTCAAAGGATCTTAAGGAATTTTTTTTTTAAGATTTAAGGCCCCTCTACAGTATGGAGTTTATTACCTGCTTTACCTGTCTTCTTTACATCCTCATGGAGTCTGGGGCCTCCACACACTGCATTAAGCGGTGGCCCCGTGTCTGACGGGCGGACACCACCCTCCACCCCCCGCCCCGTGCAGCCCCAGCCCTCGCCTCTGGGAATGTGTAACAGCAGTGCTGGAGAAAGCCAGCTCTCCTCTTCCTGCAGCCTGAGCCCCAGCAAAGCACTCAAACTGGGAAAGAGTGAGAATTTTTAAAAACCTAGTTTTTACAGTTCTGATAAAAGAACTTTTGTAAGATGAGACTTCTTTTCAAAAGTAAGATTAGAGAGAAGCATGTAAAGTTTTAGGACATCTGTGCCTCCCATCCGGGACCTCCAAGAAATAAAAACCAAAGCCTCCCTTTGGAGTCTCTTATTTCGCTTCCCTGAAAATTTCAGCTTTTCAGAAGCTCAGGCTGTGCTCACCTCATAGAAGGACACCTAAGGTCACTGTTGGTCGACCCGGTGTTGGAACATATTTTCCATGGAGACTTCACCTTATATGGCGATTAGATCTCAGACAAGCCTGCTTCATGGACAGTGGACCTGGGTGTTAGCCTGTGGGCGATGAGCACAGTACGTGCCTGGAAGCTGGATGCCAGCCCCTCAGGGTTTCACAGCATGTTTCATCCCCTCCCCCGCCCGCCAGTGGTCAAGGTGGGACCGCACAGCTCCTCCCCACATGATCTGCTTCTGCATTTATCCGGCCCTTCCTGCTGGGCATCCCCATCTCAGGCACTTTCCAGGGCTGGGGATAGAGCTGTGGATGGAACCAAGTCCTGCTCCTGTGGGGCTTGTGATGATGTGGGAGAGGAAGGCGGTGGGCAGATGGGTCTGCACATGCCACAGGAGAACGCCGTGCTGCCAAGGAGGATGCAGCTGGGGACAGGTGGAAAAGTGGAAAAGTGGTCAGGACAGCCACGCCTCACCCCTCCCATCCCCACAGAGCCTCCTCCCCTGCCTTCATGGAACAGGTTCGCCCCCAGCACTGGCTCCAGCTCATCTAGCTTCCGGGGCCCCTCCTGCCCAAGTTTCCCAAGGGCTCACTGGTCTCCTCCCAGTCTTTGTTCAGCATCATAAGACCTGTCCTGTGGCCCTTTCAAACTACAGTTCCTCCTCCAGCGCCCTGAACCCTAGCCTTGCTCTATTTCCGTATCCCTTATCACTTTCTGACTGACTTCATAATACCATGTGCTTCTGATGTTTATGATTATTTTCTGTCCCTGACACTAGAACGTAAGCTGCAAGATCAGGAAGCTGTGGCTTAGAGGTGTATCCCACGCCTCTAGAGCAGAGCCTGGCTCAAAGGAAGTGCTTGATGAATACCTAGTGAGTGAGTGACTGAGTAAGTGAGTGAATGAATAAGTGAAGGAGGGAGTGAATGAGTCAGTGAATGAGTGAACAAATGAGGGAATAAGTAAATTAGTGAGTGAATGGAATGAGTGAGGAAGTGAGTGAATGAGTGAGGGAATGAGTGGATGAGTGAGTGAGTGAATGAGTGAGGGAGTGAGTGGATGAGTGAGGGAGTGAATGAGTGAGGGAGTGAGTGGATGAGTGAGTGAGTGAATGAGTGAGGGAGTGAGTGGATGAGTGAGGGAGTGAATGAGTGAGGGAGTGAATGAGTGAGGGAATGAGTGGATGAGTGAGTGAGTGAATGAGTGAGGGAGTGAGTGGATGAGTGAGGGAGTGAATGAGTGAGGGAGTGAGTGGATGAGTGAGGGAGTGAATGAGTGAGGGAGTGAATGGATGAGTGAGGGAGTGAGTGGATGAGTGAGGGAGGGAATGAGTGAATGAGTGAGGGAGTGAGTGGATGAGTGAGGGAGTGAATGACTGAGGGAGTGAGTGGATGAGTGAGGGAGTGAGTGGATGAGTGAGGGAGTGAGTGGATGAGTGAGTGAATGAGGGAATGAGTGGATGAGTGAGTGAGGGAGGGAGTGAGTGGATGAGTGAGTGAGGGAGTGAGTGGATGAGTGAGTGAGTGAATGAGTGAGGGAGTGAGTGAATGAGTGAGTGGATGAGTGAGGGAGTGAGTGGATGAGTGAGTGAATGAGTGAGGGAGTGGATGAGTGAGTGAGTGAGGGAGTGAGTGGATGAGAGTGAGTGAATGAGTGAGGGAGTGGATGAGTGAGTGAGTGAGAGAGTGAGTGGATGAGAGTGAGTGAATGAGTAGGGAGTGAGTGAATGAGTGAATGAGTGAGGGAGTGAGTGGATGAGGGAGTGAGTGAGGGAGTGAGTGGATGAGGGAGTGAGGGAGTGAGTGGATGAGTGACTGAGTGAGGGAGTGAGTGGATGAGTGAGTGAGGGAGTGAGTGGATGAGAGTGAGTGAATGAGTGAGGGAGTCAGTGGATGAGGGAGTGAGTGAGGGAGTGAGTGGATGAGGGAGTGAGGGAGTGAGTGGATGAATGAGTGAGGGAGTGAGTGGATGAGTGAGTGAGGGAGTGAGTGGATGAGGGAGTGAGTGAGGGAGTGAGTGGATGAGGGAGTGAGTGAGGGAGTGAGTGGATGAGTGAGTGAGTGAGTGAATGAGTCAGTGACTGAGTCAGTGAATAAGTAAGTGAATGAATGACTGAGTCAGAGAATCTGAGTGAATCAGTGAACGAATGAGCCAGACTCTCAGGACGGAAGTCATAGCTGTGGAGGGAGATTTGCCCCCTCCATTTCTTGCTCTCACACTCTAGTCCTTCATCCAGAGACCACGCCTGGGAGAATGGAGAGGCAGGATTGCTGGGCTGGGAGGGGTGCTGCGGTGGATAGGGCAGCAGCCTGGGGTGGGAGACCCTGAGGGCTGCAGCTGGAGAGAGAGGGAATGCCCTCCACACCGACCTCCAGGTGACACAGTTCAACACAGAGGACTCAGCCAAGAGTGGAGCCACTTGGAAGTCTGCATGGCCCAGAAGGGCTACGAACTCGCTAAGACAACCTTGGGAGATGCCTGGAATTTTAACACTGCGATGGATCTGGAAAACTGTGCAAAATCAGATTGATGTCCATTCCAGACTGCTGAGGGCCAGCGAGCTCCGAGCAGAAGCTGCCTTCTTCCTTCTCTCCACCGCACCTATGCCCAAGGTGCTCCTGTCTCTCTGTGGTTCAAGAGCAAACACAGGCCAAGACGGTGGCATGTCTGCATCATTTCAAAGTGACGAGACTGGAACCAGGGCTGGGAAGTTCCTTTAGTTGCTCTTAGCACTTGCTTTGCTTTGACTTTGGCCTTGTTTTGGTTCTGAGAGAGATCCTCATGGCTGATGAGAACGGAGTGCTTGCTTCATGTCTGCACTTGCCAGAGGAGGGCAGGCGGCAGTGTGGGAGGAATGGCGGGCCCTCGTTCTGTCCAGAGCTCCAAACCCACAGGCCTGTGAGTGGCAGAGGAGCTCAGAAACACCGCTTTTGCATTAATTCATGAGTTTGATAAATAACGCTTGGTGCTCTCCCTGGTCGTGCACGAGCAAAGTGTCTATGTCCATGAGTTAACAATGGGAAGGCAGAGCTCCGCCCTCCAGCTGCTCACAGACTGAGGAGTCTGCTGCCCGTAACGCCGTCGTCCACCGATGGAAGAGGTGCGTGCACAGTGAAAGTGGCCAGCAGAAAGAGAAAAATGATACCTGAAAGGGCGAGTGGAATTAACCAGCAGAGGGGCAGAGGAAGGAGAAGAGGGATGTCCCCAGCAAAGATGCCTGGCATGAAACACCGTGCTCGGGACCACGGTGGTCTTAGGGGCTGTCAGGATCCTGCTAGGACCAGTCCAGTGGTCCCCCCATCTCAGCCGGTCCTCCCTCGTGAGTCAGGTTTGCCCGCGTGTTCTCCTGTGTCTGTGGTCCCAGCAGCGGCCCATTCGTCTTCCTGGCTAACCTCAAACCCCAGTGGCGCATCCAGGCAAGCCATCGAGCCGTTCTTCAGAAAGCAGCGGCTAAAATGCAAGGTGTTGAAAGGTACTTATTGAAGAGGCAATTTTACTCCGTGCTATCTTTGTCCAGATGTGCC